TGACACTTTGACACTGTCACCCCACAATCATATCAAAATAAGCATCAGCTAAAGTCCGGGAGTGAGGCAAGTGTCAGACAGAGGACAGACTCACAAAAACTTTAAAACCTTCTAGAACGTTCCTATCGGTACAGAGTTCGAAGTTCACATATTGTACCCGGGATACGCCCTTGCTGACCAATATATACACCAGCAAGAGCATTACCAAACGCTTTTTGATCTGTTACGAGTCAGTCTTCACGACGGCACTTCAGTCAGAGTCGGACACTGCGAGAGCCTTACGCAGCAACCTAATGTATTTACTATTTACTAGTAATAAAACCTTGTACGAGTCAACTCTCAGCAATACTTATTCCATCGGCGACGAATAACCAAACAACCAAAACCCGTTCGACCAACGTTATTCGAACCCACACTGTACTTAAACTGTTCTCCCATGTCGGGTACATAACAGATACATTCTTATAAAATATAAATATCACTCACAGCCAAGCTCTGAAGTGTCCCCCACTGCAGTACTTCAACACGACAATTTCAATTTGAACGATATGCCTAGAATATAATGAACGGTAAATTTAACAAGAATGTAAGAGAGAGAGATCTAAGTGAACATAGTGAAGTGAAATCATCTCATTATTCCATATATGTTGAAACATCATTGCATTTTACAAGTAAACTTGGCAAAAACATGTAGTCAACACAATGTACAGCTGAGCTTTGAAAACATTTTAGCCCCCAAAAATTACACACAAATTGTTATAACATGTCATTTCTTGTATATACACCGCACTTATTACAGAGATGTACAATGTTAATTTCAGACATATCAGCAGCTAAGTTACCTTTGTATAAACCAAACAAAATAAAGTACATACAAAAATAGATAATCAATTAGTATATTCTAATGCAACCTATGAGATAATTGTGATGTTAGTGCAGTATAATTTAAACAAAGCCATATTAATCTGGCTAGGTTTAAATATCATTCCTTTGGGAACACTATTAGACTAGTGCTTACCTACACCACAGAAACATTTTCCCATTTCATGCACCGCATGAGCAATTCAGGAAACTATACAAATTCACCTGGCCCTTTATTCTGAGCAAGCAGCATTTCAACCTACAACTTTCACTCCAGTCTCAATTCTTGGATAACAGAAGAGGGCTGTCTTCTAGGTTGTAGTACAGTGTAGTCTTCTGGGAGTCAAGAGAGGATATGTCCTGGAGGAGGCATCGAGGGCTTCTGAAATGGTAAACTTCTACATGGCACTACCACCCAGAATAAACCCATTTTCATACTCACCACTGTGAGAACCTTGAATCCTACTTAATAACAGAAAACATTACATTCACAATAACAAATATTTGGGTGACATGGGCAAAGCCATTTTATACAAAACTTTATCTCAAAAATACTGGTACTAGCTTCAAGATGTACAAAAAAACAATATAACACCCAAACCTTTGATATCAGGAGAGATTCATGTGAAAGAAATTACATAAATATGGGATAAAAAATACTTCTACAGATATACTAAAAACCTGATGTAAGACTAAATATAGGACTACAGTCTGCAAAAAGCTTCAACTTCTTTGGGCATGTTCAACTAAATACTCATGAAAAATGCTTCTGAATGAATTATACATAAAATCCTGTAATTAAGTCAGTTCCAAGATCATGGGGCATACATGAGATTTATCTCGTTCTGATATCTGTCTTGTATATCCTTCCTCCTCTGAATGCAGCTGTAACTAGTCCCATGTCTGGTGACCACACTTCTGTGCACAGTTTTACAGTAGCAGGTAGTTCAAACTTTTCCATATTATCTTGAATCAAAATACACAAAAAGTCAAAATTCTGTGATAACACCATGACAATATGCACCTTCATGCAGTAAACAGGTGAATACAATATACAAGATGCCAAGAATACATAAAAGTAAACAAAATCCTGTCCAAAAAAAAAGAAGGTACATGGGTGTTCCTTTTTCAATCGACTATAAACGAATAATCACACCTCAGCCAACTAGAATTTTAACAAGAAATAATTATTAAAAAATTCAAGAACTGAATAACTGAAATTATGTTTATTCTCACAAAGGCTCAGAAAGCCATCTCATAAAAATTAGAGGAATCACTATGACACTAGGCATTACTGGTTTAAAGAAATTGAAAATGTATGTTTTATCTTCAAAATCAGTGGTGAAGGCAGATACTTAAGCAAATACCCTTATTGTAATAATGGCACACTGGCATATTTAGGCCTTCTGTCCTGTTTTATTTGTAGTGTTCTGTCTGACGACAGGTCCATATATTATGAACAGGATCCTTCCAACCTTTTCAGGTTGTCAGGGATCTGCTCATACATATATACATTTTTGGCAGAGATGATCAGAAGTGGTTTGCCATTGCCTTCTTCTGTGTGTGTGAGTGGAGTAATTGTTGGGATGCCACGGAGAAACCAGGTAAGCCCCGGAGGAAAACTCCGTGATGCCTAGACCACAGCCTTGCCCAACACAAGTTATAAATTTGAGCACCACCGGGAATTGAACCCAGGACCCCAGGCTTACAAGGCTAGTGTTCTTACCGCTAGACCACCATCGCAGTCTAGCGGTCCTGTACAAACCACAAATACAATTTTGTGATTAATTTAGGATGCTCTTTCCTAACAACATGCCAGAACAAAAAATTACAGAACTGCAATATTTACACTAGAAGAAGACTGCAAGTTTACTTATTCCTTAAAACTGTTAACTGTGGTCAATAAGATCCACCTCTCAAATATCAGTGCACATCTACCAGAATACGTGGCACTCA